ATTGCTCACATACAGCACAAGCATTTACACACTTGCACGCATCTGTGCTCTGGAAGTCGAGTGCATGATTATTACACCCTTAACCAAATGACTGCTGCAGGAATTAGACTGGGGCCCCGTAATCCGGCTGGAATCTCAGGGGCCCCTCTAATCTGAGAACACAATTTAAAGAAAAAGCAGTTTTTTTTTCAGAGCATTTTCTACCGAGAATCATTGAAGTCCAAATTACTGCAGGAAGGAAGCTGAAAGACGATAAGATGAGGTCATCTTCGCAAACAGCAGCTGCTCTGAAATAAATGCATCTTAAACGTTAAACATTAATCTGACCATTTAATTCATTTGGACCCACTGGGCCTAGACTAATGTCTGGAGCCGGAATTGCACCGTTACTAAAAATCAAATGCTGTTCAATCCGGTGGAGCATCTGTGGGGAAAAGTCTGCAGAGAACAACGATCACTACAGGATTATATCAAACTATGAGCTTTAAAAGAGAAGCCTGCCGGCTCTGCTTTTGATCCAAAACTCAATTTTTACCCCGAGGTTTGGAAAGATACTTTTTTCTCTCCACAGGTTGATAAAATGAGCAGATTCATACGTATATGGGCTGCTATTACAAAGACAGCAAAAGCCATGACCTCCAAATGAGACAGCCCATTGCCAGCCAGCCAGATGCTGTGTGTGTGTGCTGCACGTGTATGTGTGTGTGTGTACTGCATGTGAGTGTGTGTGTGTGTGTGTACTGCACATGTGTGTGTACATGATTCTACAGGGAATCACCCTCTTTCTGCCCCAAAGAAGATTATCCCTGCAGAACTGGCACATTCCTCTAACATCCAATCAAACTGCCTCATCTTCTTTGTCATCCAATCAAAACATGACATTGCTGATCCAATCAGAATAAAGCCTGCTTACTTACTCTCTATCTAATGCCCCCCCCCCCCCCACACACACACACACACAGATAATCTAACTGTGCCTTTAGCCATAAAGAAGCCTACAGGTTTAGCTTAAGAGCAGCAGAGACTCTAATGAACAACTCTAATGACAGTCACATGTTATCAAGAGCCATAAATGCGAGGACATTGATGTACGTTATGTAGTGCGGCCTCAGAGATGATGAACTGAAATTACAAATTTCGATTAAACCTCCTCAAAATTGCGACATCGAGCAGAGCTGAGGAAGAGCTGATCTCCACCAGCATCCTGATCTGGGTTGAACAACAACACCACCAACAATTAGAGCTGTAGCTAGTCCCATTACTCCCATTGATTGGCATCAGCTAGCACCAGCTCATCTACTAGACTCCATTACAGCAGCTGGCTGAGCTCCAAACACTCGTTACCAAACAGAACAAACAAACTGCCCACTGCAACCTATACACTGCACGTTGTACACTGCAAATTAAATAGTACAAAGTACACACTACAACCTATACACTGCACGTTGTACACTGCAAATTAAATAGTACAAAGTACACACTACAACCTATACACTGCACATTGTACACTGCAAGAATATACTTCAAACTTCACGCTAGAAACTAAACACTGCAAACTAGACGCTTCAAGGTAGATGCTACTAACTACATACTGCAAACTATAAACTACACACTGCATGTTGCAAATGGCACATTCTAATCTACACGCTACAAACAAAATTTTTGCAACAAAAATAATTCACTGGTATCCAGCAAACTGTGTCTAACTGTAAAGCGTAGTTACACCCCCCCCCCCCCCACGCCCAAAAATGCAGTTTTCAAAAAAGGGCAAAAAAAAAAAAAAAAACAGCCTCATGGTATAGGAGTCAAGGTTTCCCATCACAGAAAGCAGAGTCTGAGAAATAGTGCATAGTTTTTACTACCAAATTAGAAATGATGTGTTTTGATCCTTCTTTTTTCGGATGGTTTCCCAATTCAGCTGATTTCAGAAGATGAACGCAGACACAGAGGCGCTGCCTCTCACACTTACCTGTTACTCACAAAACATCATCTTCCTGAAACACGTCACAACAAGCAGACAGCGTTGTTGAAGCAGCCTTACAGCACGATCACACAAGAGGTTTGTCAGCAGCTTGAAGACATTCAATGGGACCGTTCTACATGTTTCTGACAACAGCTGGAACTGTATCTCTGCATTGTCCAATCAGGTGTTACAAATACATGTTCAACAGACACAACAGATCAGTTTGGGCCTTTGTGATTGAGTATCAAACCAGCAGTGCTCTCCAATAAAAAACTAAATTTGGTATATTGTCATGAGGAAAAATACGTGCTGGCAGAACGTTTGCCTCCGCGTTTAGAATGAGTCCTGTGCGATCGCATCCTTGTAAGACTCTTCAGTCCCGTCAGCCACAGTCACATAACACACACGGTGCACACAGAGTCATGCCTCTTCTCAGTCTTAAAGCAAACCTTCATGCGTCCAAAACAAATGGCCTCTGCACTCCGGCTGCAGATTTGACTGAAAGTCTGTCACCACTGAACAAGAACCAACGAGATGCAGAAAGACCAAGAGAGGAATACTTTCTCCCCACAGATGCTGAGGTGAACACAGTAACGGTCAGATAGTCACAGAGCTTTACAGACTGAAGGCTCAACACAGAGAAGTGATGACTAATGCTTTGTTTCTGTCTGTAATGGTACTAATGATGACCTGCTCCATCACACATATATTTCATTATTACATTTTAAGCTAAATGTTTGTTTAGTAACTCAACACTTAAGCGTGAATCTGTCAAGACTCAAACATAAAAGCTGCAGATTTTAGATCTACGTTTGTGCCGCACTGTGAATCAAACAAAGTGCACAGCATGTATATTCTGTATGTAAAGCATAATGCAAGAGTCAGCATTAACGCGTTCCTGGGGGCAAGTAAACTCTGTGTTTGGGGAAGTGGAATGTCTTATGCAATAAATGTGATCTTTGTGAGGAGTCCATATTCTAGGATCAGCATTAATGCAGATCCCTGATAATGCCCCCCCAAAAAAAGATATTTAACCAAAAATACAATCACTTAAGTCCTTGTCATTTGAATTGTGTGTTTTTATGCAAATAACCACTTTATATGTCAATAACAAAGTACATTTTTGACATTTTTTAATAGGCCTACATTTTCCATTTCGGAGAAGTACGTTAAGCTATCGGGCTTGAAGCTTAATATCAAGCATTGCATAATGTGATTACTTTGTGCTCCACAAAAGGCCTCTTGGAGTGACAGTTTCTAAATGTTGTTTTTGACTCATTTGAATCATTTTGTTCACACGTGTTGTCATCATTATTGTTATTGATATTGCATGGGGACCCCCACGTTGTATCGCCGCCCTCTGTAAAGCTTTGGGATTACACACCAGCATACTGCAGCCACACATGGCACTGTGCATTTCACTAACACACCCCCACACACACACACACACACACACACACACACACCACTGAGGAGGATATAGCAACAGAGGAAGGTGGAAAGAAGTGCACGTGCATGCCGGGAAGAGCGCCTGATTCTTGCTTCATGCATGGAGATACAAAGGAGGGGGGGGGGGCGTGCAGAAGGGAATGGGGCGTCACCTTGGTCAGCAGGTGGGAGGGTTTCCCTGCTATGTTTCTCAGAATCAGAGAGGTTTCCCTGTCCAGATAGGAGTGCTTTAAAGAGAGAGACAGAGAGAGTCCTGGTGAAGTAATCTGGTGCTTGATTGACTGGATGTGGCAGTTTAGCAGAAAGCTGTGTGGTGAAGCAGAAACAGAAACCTGTGAAGGAGAGCGGCACACTGAATCAACACATTACAGTCGTGGTGTAGGAACGCTGGGAAGGAGAGGAAATGTTAACCAACAGGCATATAGAGTCATTCAGAGCTGGTTTCCTCCCAGACTAAGATCACGAGCGTCCCTGAGGAAACAACCTGAAGAAGAACATTTTGTGATGCAGAGCTTTTATTTAGTTTTTGTGAACACACATTTCTTTTTTTCCCCCCATTTATATTTTTTTAATTGACTGATTTCTATTCGTTATTTGTTATTAATCATATTTCCTGACAAGGTGAATTCCACAGGCATGAGATAGAACTGTGGCTCGGTGAGCTTTATATAATCCCACATCGTACATGCAGCAGTGCTGTGAGTCACCAGTTCCCCCTGAGCAGGTTCCTACTGGACTCACAGGGATCAGCATCAGAGCCACGGCGAGTTCTTACCGTTTGTACTGGAGTAACGGAGACATGGAGAAATAGGTTTCCTTCAAGACCTTTGTCCAACTCCAGATTGCTTTTCTGATCAGATATTTATTTATTTATTTCAGACAAATCTTTAATAATCTCGTGAGTGTGTGTGTGTGTGTGTGTGTGTTTCAATCTCTAGAAACCATTTTATAGAAAGCATTGGTTCTCTCTTGATAACCACTGATTAAAAATAATATTTAGGTCAAACACACACGCACGATTACAGCCAGCTTTTTCCTTTGGCTAAGATCTGACCAACGTTATCTAAGTGTGTGTGTGTGTGTGTGTGTGTGTGTGTGTGCGTGAGTGTGTGTGTGTGCTGATCCCCTCTAGGACACAGGGAGCTGCTATATTCTATACAGGAAGACTTTGTTGGTGTATGTGTGTATCTTCTTGTGTATTAAACATAGATTTTGTTTGTATTATTTTCGGAGCAGTAAAGAGGCTTTCACACTGCAGCGCCTCGAGCCGTGTCAATAAGAGGAAGTCAGCAGAAGGGAAGCGGTTGCTATCATGGCTTTTGGGGTTTGAAGCGGTTGCAGCCTACGTGAACTTGCACACTTCTGCTCTCACCGTGGTGCTCGCTCGTTCCAACCTCAGCGCCACCCAGTAAGTGACAAAGATGGCGGCCGGCAGTACAACCCTCAGGCCTGTTCCCCAGAATGGTCCAGATGGTTTAAATGGGAACGGGACCTTGTGCCCCACCCCTCTTACACCAATCATAAGCATGTCAGTGACAACCAGTGTGGCCCCAAAAACTATGACCTCCTCAGTCCCATCTCAAGCTGCAGCGCTACTCTGATGACCAATACTGATTTGTTGTTCCTGCACTTTAAAAGACACAGAGTGAGTGTGTAGAGGAGGAAAAAGACTTCAAACCTCAGTAGTCCCAGTTTCTAAATGAGCTGGACTCGTGGGAGCAGCGTTCCGGGCAAAATACACTCTAATCCTTCTCTTTTTATTCCCTCTCTCCTTCTCTTGTTCCCTCTCACTCCTCTTTTTGTTTCATCTCTCTCCTCTTTTTGTTTCATCTCTCTCCTCTTTTTGTTTCGTCTCTCTCCTCTTTTTGTTCCCTCTCTCTCCTCTTTTTGTTCCCTCTCTCTCCTCTTTTTGTTCCCTCTCTCTCCTCTTTTTGTTCCCTCCCTCTCCTCTTTTTGTTTCCTCTCTCTCTCCTCTTTTTGTTTCCTCTCTCTCCTCTTTTTGTTCCCTCCCTCTCGTCTTTTTGTTCACTCTCTCGTCTTTTTGTTTCCTCTCTCTCTCCTCTTTTTGTTTCCTCTCTCTCTCCTCTTTTTGTTTCCTCTCTCCTCTTTTCATTCCCTCTCTCCTCTTTTTGTTTCGTCTCTCTCCTCTTTTTGTTTCGTCTCTCTCCTCTTTTTGTTTCCTCTCTCCTTCCCTTGCCCGTCTCTGTGTCACTCTCTGCTTCACTCCGTTAGTCTCCATCATCGCCTCCCTCTCGCTCCTTTTCATTTGCTGACTCACTCTGGCCTCTCATCTCATCATTCTAATTTGATTCGTTCCCATCTCAGATTTGCGGTAGTGTCCGTGTATGCACCGGATGAATTTGGAGCAGCAACCTAGTTTCCTTCTCACGGAGGAGGGTTTGTGTTTGCAGTGCAGCTCATTTGAGCTTTCTTGTTTGTGTTGAGCAACGAGGCTTTGGATTAAATACCCTCAGCAGCCACCAGGGTCAGAAACAAAAGAGGGATTGAGCTATAAATGCTAAAAAATAAATCCCTTGTGAAATGGGAAAAGAACAGTATAAATGCACTAAAAACTGTTATGAGCTCTTTTGGCATTTTATTCTGCTCACATTTTTTTGCAAGCCAAGAAGCGAAGTGTTCACATCTGATTCAGGGAAGATTCTGACCAAGCTTTTCTTTTCAGTGTCTTCTGGGACAGAAGAACGGAGCGTTTTCTGATCTTAAAAGAACCGAAGAAACAGCCTGAAGCAGCAGAACGAGCCAGCGGTAGAACAAACCAACACAAACCACTGCAGCAGCAAACACTTACACTACACTACATGAAATAAAATCTCAAGAAAGTGTGGACTGTTGGAGGAGACCTGTTCCTGATCTGCAGCTCATGCAAGTAGCACAGTAACTGGTCAAGTGGGACTTGAAGCCTTAAAGGACATTAGAAATGCAAGTTGTTGCAAAATCATCGGATTAAACAAGTAATATTTTACAATACTATGGTTTTAAATCTTTAAAGTGGCAGTAGACAAGCTTTAACTTATCATTGTGAAGTAAATGTTGATTGCACAATTTAATGGTTATGGAACAATGACACCATCTGCGTTTAGATTGGATCCCAATAAGCCTTGTTTTCTGGTTTTTGTTGCTTTCTGTATAAATACGAGGTGTAAAGAAGATCATTGGGATCAAATGATGTCTGTCTGTGAACTGATGAATTCATCAATAATTCATCTCGTTTGCTGTGGTTAATGACCACCTTAGCTAGTGACAAGATGAGCTAATGTGTCTTGTAGGAGCATCATTGAGCAGAACATCACTGTGCTATGTGATGAATCCTGTACGAGAGGGGTTTCTATTATTTTGTCCATCCCATTCATATCAATGAGAGTAGGCCAAATAACTAAAATGTCTCTAAAGTATAACACAATAGATTATCAGCACCTCAAACTACATCCTCCAATTTGATCATACGGTTGAATCAACACCTTTTTAAGTTACAGCCTTCATATGTTTGACTGCATTAGTTTTAGTCTGCTGTACCTAATAAACTGGCAACTGAGAGAACGTACAAGTCCGGGTACAGACTGATCTCTATTGGGGGTTCATATGTTTCCTCAGAAACGTATAGAAACAGTTTAGTCTGATTGTTACAGAGGTTTCCTTCCAACATGGTGCCGATCGAGCAAATGATTTACTCTTATTGTGCTTCAGTCCGCTGCATTCTAATCCTAAACATATTTAAGATCAAGCATAACGTGTTCATCATAAATGTCTGAAAGAAGCGAGGTGAGGATCAGCCGAACTCATAAAACAGTGGGCATGTACCTCCGTGTGGGGATGACCATGACCGGCTCCGGCAGCTGAGGGCAGCACTGAGGGCTGCTGACCGTCCGGTTCATCGGAGCAAAGGACGCTGTCCAACGAGTCCATGGAGGAGGCGGAGTTAACAGAGACGCCGGACCCCGAGGTGACGGAGGAGCGGGAGGAGTGAACGATTGAACGCGCCTAAAGAGGAGAAAGAACAGTTCAGAAGTCAGGTGCAGACTCCCGAAGGTTGAAAGTCGTATACAATTGATTATAGATAGAGGGTGCAGTTTCTAAGCCCTCTGTGTCACACTTGTGGTTTTGAATCACGTTTAATTTTATTCATAAACTGTGAAAAGGAATCAAAACCACCAAATGACAAAGGCTGCTTAGTCTACCTCGTGTTCGCTGACTGTGCCGACGGATCCCGTGCGTCGGTGCTGGCGCTGAGACGATCCGGGCCGTCGCATCGTGGCCGACGTGTAGGAGGAGGCGGAGCCAAGGGAGTGTGAGGAGGTCTGACGAGCAGCTTCATCCATGCTGAGAGACGCCTGGTGGGGGAGCAGAGGGCGGAGGGTTAAGGGTTAAGCACTCGGTCTTATTTTTGTTTCTTAAGTTATAAAACAAGAGTTATTGAGAGATGTGAGTAATGCATGATGGATACAAGGAGAAGGAATGTCCCAAAACCTCATCCACACATGTCGATAACAAAACAAATCCCCCGCACACCTTCTCCAGCTGGGCGGTGATGTCGTCAAGACTGAAGTTGGAAGCCAGTGCCGCTCTCCCAGGATGCCCGGCGGGAGCTCTGACAGTGCCGGCAGGGGACGCTCTAGCACTGCTGCTGCTGCTGCTCGCCCCGCTGCTGCCCCCTCCACCGCTAACACTGTTGCTGACACCACCACCACCACCTCCGCCACCACCACCGCTGCTGCCGCCGCCTCCTGCTGCTGCTGCTGCTGGCTGCTGCCGGCTACTGCGCCCGGCTGGAGGCTTCTGACGGACCTGGAAACAGAGAGAAGGAGCGCGTGTAGACTCAGTGAGAACTAGCTGTTCCACAGGGGGGGTGATCATAGCCAAAAACCTCCAAAACCCAAGCTTAAATTCTTCATATTTGCCTCGTCAGATATGGAATTTTGGGGGTGGTGATTATGCATAGATATGTGAACGCGTGTACCTTGGTGTCGGTCAACCCCAGGCGAGCCATGCTGCCGATGCTGTTGGGCTTGGCGTTGACGGTGCTGAGCTCCTGTTCGATGGAGCAGAGGTCCGCCATGAGAGCGTCCAGGTCCACGTTCTCGCCCTGATTCAACGCCTCTGCAGACACAGAGACACCAAACGTGTGAGACGTGGAGAAGAGAGAGAGAGACCGAGACAGAGCAGGAGAGGAAGCGTCAATCAAACAGTGTCTGACCGTTGATGTTGTAGATGGAGAATCTGTAGGAGAAGTTGGCCATGTTGGTCTCTTGTCTGAGGGGAGCTTTCTGCTGCGGGGGTTGCTCCGGGCGGCTGTCATCCAGACTCTGAACAGACACACCATATTATAACTTTTGCAGGGCAACAGGTGAAAGCTCTGTGGTTCATGCAGATCAGCGGTGGACCTCCCTTACTTTGTGTACCTGCGTGAGTTTGTCCAGCTCTCCCAGCCAGGCTCCAAACATCTTATCCAGGTCCTGGTCCTCCTTGTCGCTGTCCTCCTCTTCCTCCTCCCCATCCCCCCTGACCTCCACCTCCTCGTCCGACAGCTGATCCATCTAAAGAGGGGACAGAGGGAAAGAGATACTGGTTAGTTCTTGTGCTGTTTCAGGGCAGAGTGTGATCTCTCAGCTCCACCTAGTGGCCGACAGTCTGCCCTACACCGCAGCCAGTCGTGTTACATTCTAAATTCACATTTTTGAATGACAATAAAAGCTCGTTTGTGACCGATCACAGCTGGTGAGAGTCATTCAACTGTAAGAGATGGACAGAAGCAGGAAATGACAGCAGGAATTCAACAGACAAAGTCCATATCACTTACTGTTTAACAACCTGGTCACAGGCTAGCACCACTACTCTGAAACCACTACAGTCATTGTATAAACGTACACTCAAAATCCTTGATAAAAAATCTGTTCGTTCTCATCATTGCCCTATACTAAAAAAATATAACTTGTTTAGTTGGGAGAACATGATTAAATATGTGAATGTCTGTCTCATGTACAAGATTATACTTGGCTTTACCTCTCCTCCGCTTAAACAATTTGTGATCACAAGAACAACTGGATATCGGCTCACAAGAGGAGCAGCAAGAGGGGATTGCATTATCCCACTCAGGAAAAGTGCTTTCAGTCAGTCTGCTTTTTCAGTACAAGCTGCACTACAATGGAACTCCATCCCAGTGACCATTAGAGAACTACAAACATTTAAATCTCACTTACAGAAATGTTTAGCTAGTACCCAGCTCTGTCAGCACTAGACTGCAACTGTTTCTCTGTCTGTGTTGAACTTCCCTCGATCTGTCTGTTGTCACCTTTCTGTCGGTCGACCGTCAAGTACCTGCATGCATGTCTTTTATTGTTGTTTAGCTGTGTCTGAGTGATTTATGTATTTCACATACTCCTTATGCTTTTATGTTTTGTGCCTCTGACGTGGATGTTTTTTACAACTACAGCATAATACAGTTTTTAGTCCATGTTTCTATTTGAACATAGTTATCCTTTTTATTTGCGTGTTTTTATTTGCGTGTGCTGACTTTGATAGCCTCTGTGTTGCATGTCTTGTCTGTACTTGACAATGTATAACAGTTTTATTCTCATTTTTTTCATTGTTTGTGCACGCATTGTTAAGTGTCAATATTGTATAACCTTTTAACTTTAATCTTACATTGTTTTTAGGTTTATTTTGTAAACATCTGCCTTTGGGACTACAGATGAAAAATAGCCTTTTGGCTAACTCTGGCGCATTTGCAGAAATGTTTTTATTAATGTGCACTGTCCCGTTCAAATAAACCAATAAATAAATAAAAATAAGATGCATTCTGTGCATCAGACGAGATGCAGATTGAATTATTGTCCTTTAAAGCGACCCGTTAAGGCTTTGCATGATTTTAAAGCTTTTTAAGTACTTTTTTAGAACCCATTGACAGAAATAAGAGCGGGCAGAGACGTGGGTCCACCGTACAAGTTACACTTTGTCCAAGAGTAAAAACAAATAGAGAACTTCTCCCCAGATCAATACATACAATCCCCAGTTGATGGTAGGGCTGCAACTACCTACTAGGAACCTTTTGTCTTCACTGTGCGTCATTCTGCATATTTCAGAAATGTTGCTGCCCAAATCGGTTTTATACTGAGCAAAGAATAATATTAACGTTTTTACAACTATAAAACACTTTACTTGATTTTAACAGAGTCAAGGAATCTGAAGACAGTGTGCTGGGTTTCACAATCTAAAAAAATAACAATCACAAACATGATTTATAAGAAAATAATACAAAAAAACATGACGAGGAACATTCAGGGGAAAGGGGAGAGATTAAGAGAGAGAGAGTGTGTGTGTGTGTGTGTGTGTGTGTGTGTGTATAAACTGTTTATGTAACTACACTGAGAACAAGTCAACACACTTTTGAAGTGTTGCTGAGATTTATGTTAGCAATAATGATCCTTCACACACACGCACACACACAGTTATGAAAATGAAGCTGGAATACAGTTCAAAGACACACAGCAGCAGTTGAATTCTTCTGTGTTGACAACCAGTAGGAACTGGTTTTCACTGCATCATGATGATGATGACGATGATGGAACACATGATTTATCAAAGTAAAAACATCTGGAGGTGTGTTCTACTGAAAGTGTAGTGCTTAAAGAGCAAACTGTGCTTGTCCTGATTTGACCGTGTGAATACACGCCATAATTGAACTTAAATGTAGTGACATTCTGCGTTGCACTTATCCTTTTCTTGCTGAGCATAAAGATTAGACGCAGAAGAAAACTGCTAGCTTAGCTCTCTCCAAAGGTAACAAAAACAAGTGCCTCCCTGCACCGAAAGTGAAGTGTACAAACATCAAATTATGGTTTTAAGTGGGATTATAATGCTGGATTATGTGTGTCATCAGCATGGGGATGTATTCTAACCTTCGGACAGAAACAGGCTTGTTGTTCGACCATGTTTCCGGTCTTTAGTGTATTTCCCAAAATGTCAAACTATTTCTTTAATGTGTCGCTGGATTCATTACTCCATGTATGACAAAAGATACATCAAACTTCCTTTTTTCTCCGCGTATAAATCAACAATAATCTTCATGTTGATATATAAAAGAGCACAGATGCTATGATAGCATCAATCATTTAATCAATCTCCTCCCCTCCTTCATTTCTCTCCCATGTCACCTCCCTCCCGTGTGCTCCAGTTCCCTCTACTCTCCTCCTCCTCCGTTCTCTACTCCCTTTTCTCCTCACTCCTTTTTCCCTCTCCTCCAGGTCCCCACCCAGCTGACCCCAGAGTATTGCCCAGGGCACGGCGTGCTATTCCTGGGTAGCCGTTTTGTCCCCCCCCCGTCCCTCTCTGGGGAGACTGCTAGCCAACACAAACACAAGATTAGAGAGCAGAATGTCACCAATATACAAACACATTGACAAACACACACACACACACACGCTGAGGAGCGGTGCTACAATTAGATCCCTGTGGTTAGCATGGTCTGTCATTTAGACTGGTGGATAGGGTCAGAGTGTGTGTGTGTGTGTGTGTGTGCGTCTCTCACAGCTGTGCTCTTGTACAACAATCTGCCGTTTCGGTTCGAAGGTTTGATGCCGGCCAACAAATGAACCTTTTTTTCTTCGCAGGCAAAAACCTGACTGAGAAGAAGATTCACTTGACGTGTGAACCTGAACTTCCTCCTCGGATGGAGCTTCATCTCTGCTCTGTGCAAACATACACTGATAGAAAATGTCATGATATTTGATATCGCTCTCCATTCTTCAGCTCCACAATGCATTCGGCTGTGTGTGCAACGGGTGATAATTCAATCTCATTATTTATTGTCCTTCTACATAATTATGTTGACACACGGTTGTCTTATCAAGCTGCCATGCCTGAATCAATCATTGATTGGTTCAATGTGAGCAAAATCTGAGACGGCGTGAAAGTTAAGAGCTGCACAAATCAATATTTTCATACTGATAACTGATCGAATCGATAAGTGTGATTTGAAAAGGGGCACCGCCTCGACCCACGAGATGCTTCCAACTCCGTTACCTGTGTTCGCGTACAGAACGTCACCAGGACAAAGACTCAAAGGTTTGACTCTATTGAGTTTCAAAATGGCCGCTACAAACAGTCCAGTGGTGGTCCACACGTTTGATAGCTTGTAGCCATAGATGTCATCGGTGTTTCGGTTTAACGAGTGACCGTGTTTACTGGTGACTTTCAACTGAACGCGTCCGTGGTTGCTCCTGGATCATTTAGCTTCAACACCAACCATAAGTTACGGACGCATTTGGCTGAAAGTCACACGATAACACGGTCACTCGTTAAACTGAAACACCTGTAGCTCATAAACAGTCGTTATTCTGTTGTAATTCTGCAGAATTTGCGTGGATTTTGATGCCGATAACATTTAGATTTCAGTTTTCAAAGCTTGCCAACTCTTCAGGATGGCTGGGACAAGACGCCGCTTCTGTTGCCAACATGCTCATACATATTTTTGATGGCGTCGGCTGTAAAAGAGTCTATACTGGTTGCTGTTCAGCTGTGTATCAGACAGCAGTTGAATGCACCACCAGTCCAACAGAGCTGAGACAGCAAGTCGTAGTGATGGGCTATAAGTGCAGAGTGTGTGTGTGTGTGTCCAAAGTAAACAGTAATTACTCTGCTGCTGCAGTCACACTCCTGTATGTCACACTGAAACCATGCAATCATACTCCCATCCTTCATTCCTCCCTCTTCTCCTCAGCTTCTCTTTCCCTTCTTCCTCGTCTATTACTGTTTTCTTCTCTCCCACCTTCTCGCCGTCCCTACTCTTACTCACCCTTCTCCCTCCTCTCCTTCACTTCACCTCTCCTCTGTCTTAATAAGAGGGAGTGAGACAATAAACACAACATGTATCACTGCAGTTTCTTTACCTCCTGTGGCGACGACAGAGGAGCAACTCAAGAGGAGAGGAAGAGAAAATTAGTAGTCAAGAGGAGACAAGTGGAAAGGAGAGGAAAAGAAAAGAGAAGCGACCAGAGGAGACACGAGGACAGGAAAAGAGAAGAGACAAGAGGAGAGAAGAGGAGAGACGATAGGAGAAGAAAAAAAGAGGAGACAGAAATGGAGAGGAGACAAAAGAAGGAAAGAGAAGGCAAGAGGAGAAAAGAGGAGACATTAATAGGAGACAAGAGGAATTGGGGAGGAAAAGTGGAGAGGAGACAAGAGAAGGAAAAAGGAGACAGGAGGAGATAAAAAAAGAGAGGAGACAAGAGGAGAGGGGATAAAAAAAGAGGAGAAAAAAGGCGACAAGAGCAAATAGAAAGAAGTGGAGAGGAGGCAAGAGAAGGAAAGAGGAGATTAAAAGAGAGGAGACAGGTGGAGAGGAGAAGAAACAGACTTAAAAGAAAACTGCACTGTTGCCAACTGCCTCCCTTCCCTCTCGACTCCACCAACATCTGCTGCTTTAGTGCCCTTGAGCAACATGCTCCATCTGTACTGGGCAGCTCCCAGTTTCCCACAGCGCAACACGGAGCCTCAACTGGTCCACTCCCACAACACAACGACAACAGAAAAGGCTTTA